ATGTGTTGAGGAAGAGAGCCCTACCGAGGATCGAGACTCCCTTGACTCTGGCCACTGTACCTAGCTTGGAGATAACCTTTCGCTCCACCAAGGTACTGCACGTCTTCCTGCTGTCCGTCATGCTGACCTGCACACCCAAAAACCGCTCGCATTCTCCTGTAGGCAAACGTTTTAGTCCCCAATCCACAAACAAGTGTGCATCAGCATTTACAATTGCAACAGACTTAGGCCAGTTAACAAGGGCTTCCGAGAACCTTGAATATAAGTCCAAGCAATTTTTCAAGGCTCCCAAGGATTCTTTGGAATTAATCGATAATGCAAAAAGATCATCCGCCATGGCGGACACTTTGCATTGGCCCCCATAGGGCAATCGGAGACCCTGAATATCCGGACCACTCCTAATCAAAGAAAGGAGTACCTCCATTTGAATGACGAAAATCATGGGGGCCAGAGGGCACCCTTGACGGAGTGAGCGAGTAAGCTTAAAGGGACTTGAGAGTTCCCCATTGACCATCACCCTACCCACCCCTTTCAAGTAGAGGGCTCTAACCCACCTTGAGAAGGACCCCCCGAACCCCGCCCTGTCCAAGGTGTCCAATACAAATTGCCAATTAACCCTATCATATGCCTTCTCTAAATCCAAAAGGAGGGCTACAATCTAAGGCTGTTCCTCCTTCATGTACTCTAGGGCTTCAATAGTAAGCATGATATTATGTACAATATTTCTGTTCTGAACGAAACCTGCCTGCTCTTGACCCACCAGCAATGGCAGATACCGTTTGAGTCTGTTAGCAAGGGTTTTGGCTGGAATTTTGTAGGAGGTGTTGAGAAGGGAGATCGGTCTCCAATTACGGATATTCCTCTTGTCTCCTTTCTTGTACAGCAGTGAGATCACTCCCAACCTCATATCCTTCCCTAGATCGTGCCCGTACAGAATACTATCATAGATATTAACTAGCACCGGGCCCAGGGTTTCCCAAAAATAACTGTAATATTCGACTGGGAGCCCGTCGCTGCCCGGACACTTGCCTTTTTTCATGTTTTTTACTGTCTGAGAAAGTTCCTCTAAGGTGATGGGGCGGTTCAAGTCCAGTTTCCCTTGGGGAGGAGGACGAGCCTTGTATGCATTCCACATGGTGTCCTGAAGCTCATTGTCCCCTGACTCTAGGCACACTGGCGTAGTGGACGTCAAAATGTCTTTGAAGTAAAGTTGGGCGTACTCAAGGATGGTCCTGGTATCCCTGGCCTTGGGCTCAAAGGCATCAAAGGGGTGGTCAAACTCTATAATGATGGATGAGCCCTTGCGGGCCGAGAGTTTTTTAAAGTTGTCCTTGGTCATCCTATCACCCACATCCATCCACTTGATCTTCGCGCGCTCTGCCCATACTCTCTCTTTCTCAATTTGTAAATTGTCTAATTTGTCTCTCCGAAAATTCAGTTGGGCCAGCAAAAAAGCAGCAAAGCCGGGTTCCGAATCCATGTTCGCATCGGCCCACTCTATTTGACTCAGGCATTTCTCCTCTTCCAGACGGCGAGCACGTGCTTTGATCCGGGAAGCGAAATCGAAGTCCGAGACTGCTAATCTGTTGGCTGCCTCGAGCCAGTCGTTATCCGAATCATAGAAGTGGGAGAGCGTCCTGAGTTTGGTTAAGGTGTCACCAACAAACCTCACCAAACCGGAATCCTTAAGGGTGTCAGTATTCAATCTATAGTATCCTTTGCCCCTTGAGGTATAACCGTCGGGGACAAAGGTGGCTATCACCGGCCTGTGATCAGATAAGGAGTCATAAGGCATTGCTGCCTCCATCACCCAATCAGCAGCTTTGTCTCTGATTAGGAAAAAATCCAACCTTAACTTCGTGAAGGTCTTGTCCTGTCTGGGGATGTGAGACGTCCATGTGTAGTTCCTAACCTCAGGGTGCAGCATCCTGAAGGGCTCGACCAATCCCATGCTATCAATCATATCCCCAAGGGCAAGAGAGTCATTCCTGATTGGATCCCCGACTGAGGAGTCCAAGCATGGGTCCAAAATTGTGTTCCAATCCCCCCCCATGACTAAGTTATGATTGGATGGAAGGACTCTGGGCAGTATTTCAAAGAATTGCATTTTCTCTCTCCTATCAACCGGGGCATACACCGATACAAAGGTCCACTCTATGTCCTCTATACTGGCGGTGAGCCAAACCCATCGTCCCAAAGAGTCTGAGAACCAATCAATGACCTTGAAACTCAAATGTTTGCGCACTAAAATTGCAGTACCCCCCTAGTCCCATCTGCAGGGGCCCAGAACTGAGGGCCCTGCCACTTCCATTTGGCATCCTCAATTTTGTCTTCATTCAGCTGAGTCTCCTGGAGCAAGGTAATGTGTACCCCACGTTGATGAACCCACGACCTCAGCCTGGCCCATTTAAACTTAGCATTATTATCACCCAGACCTCTGACATTCCAGAAGGCTATTCTGAGTTTATTCATCAGATAGTGTGCGCCCTGTTTCTTGGATAAGGGAAAAATCATCCGAGGGGAAGGTGGAGACTGTCTCCCCCTCAGCGGTGCCCACAGTCACTATTATGGAGGAGGCTGTAATAGGGGGATTTTGTTTGAGGAATGAGGGTGGGGACAATCCAGCGGTTTTCCTCTTCCTGTCATCCCCCGAGTCTCCCTTGCCTTGCCAGGGGGAGGACAGGAGCTTGTCAAAATGATCAGTGAACAGATTGTAGTCTGTGGGTAGCTGCTGGTTATATTCCAGCAAGAAATCCCCAGAAATCCCCTCCGCAGTATACACCATTTGTGAGTGGAGGAGATTTTCGTCCTTAACCCATTCGAGCGGACACCATACTCCCTTGTTGAGGAAAAGGTGAGTCAAGTCGGCCTCGTTGGGCCGGACGTCGAAAGGGGCTACAAACAGTTGGACCTTGTTGTTGTTTTTGCCTGTTCTCAAAAACCTTCTACAACCCATGCCTGGGATAGCTCTAACTGGGGCATTCATGCCTAAATAATTTCTTACCTTGGCCAGCATAATAGCTTGCGTAGGGTTACTTTCCACAGAGCACGGGGTAATCAGTTTAATGCTGGTCCCCATACTGTACGTCAAAAATTGAACACCCTCCGGAGCTCTCCTCCAAATGAGAGGGACCAAGTATTTGGATCCCTGATGCTTGCTGGACCCCTGGCTTGTGCTGGAATTACTAGATTTTCTGGGTTTGCGCTGTCTTCCAGGGGAGGGCGTTCTTCCCCTTTTTTCCTTGGAGGGAAACTCTTCGTCAATAGATTCCTCAGAATCTCCTGACAGATCAGCAGAGGATGTGGGAGGGGGCTCAGATATTGAGAGGGGGGGGCAGCCCTCCGCTGTATTGGAGACAGTCCCCTCCAACAGGTCTGTAAGAGCTTGGTGGGAGGGGCTAGTGACATCTGCAACCGGTGAATCAGGTGTTATTGTGTTGGGTGAGACGGGTGTGATGGGCGATAGTATTGGCAGCGGACAGTGAGTCACAGTAGCAGGTATTGTTACCAGCGTTGACACCAAGGTCAATCCCGATATACCACGTGATTCGGTGGCAAGTACAGGGCTCAATACTGTATCCGTTTCTGAACCTACCGCCCCAAGCTGCAGATCTGGCGGTTGTGGGCCACATGATTGCAGCCCGTGACTTGAATCCAAGGCGGGGAACTCCTTTCCCTCCTCTGGGCCTGTACCAGCAGCTGCTGGGTCAGCAACAGCAACTGGAACAGGAACAGAACCCGATTCTGATTGTTGGGATATAGTTGCTTCTACTCCGGTGATTTTGTCCGGATCATCAGGTGCAACGGGGGGTTCGGATCCAACTTTCTGAGTGACGTCGCTGCGCACAGTCCCAAGTTGTGGCTGTACCGCAATCTGAATTTCTTTTTGCCCTTCCTTGAGCATGTCAACCTGGACCGTGGGGAGGGTGACATTAGCACCAACGGAACTAGTCTCTGTTGTGTCCATTTGTTGAGCCTGGGAACTGTCACTGTGAGCATTGGGGGGCTTTTTTGTGCTCAAGACGGGGGGTGTGATGACCAACTGAGAAAGATGAAGGGGAGGGACGGTAGTGAGAGGGGGGGGGGGCTCAGTGACTGCGGAGGGGGTGGTGACTGCGAAGGGGATGGACTGTGCCGGGGGGGGAGACGACGCAGAGGTGGTATGCCTCAGGGATACAGATCCCGAGGCAACTCCAGGTGGAGGAGGCCGAAAGTTGCTGAGAAACGAGAACGACCCATCCGGCTTGACGGGAGCCATAGAGGCTGAGGCTAGTGGGTGGTCCGAAAGAGGGAAACTATTAGTACAACCAGCGTCACTCTGGGTGGTCGACCCGGTGTTCCGAAGGGGTGTACTGCCTCGCCCAGTGCTCGGGGGGGGCATGTTGTTCCCCACAGAGCTCATACCTCTGGAACTTACCTCTAGACTGGCTAAAAAATCGGTTGCCCTGCCTACTTCCCCGGTTTCCTCTCTATGGAAGTTACCAAAAACGAACGGAGGTTGTGGGGAACCCAGTAACGGACCATTGGAAGATGATGGCCCTGAGGTGGGGGGCCTAGACGGCGCGAGGGGCTGGGTCCGAGGTAGCCATCCTGCTCCTGCACTTAGTCCTCTTGCTCGAACTGCAGTCAGGCCTGCACCCTGCCCCGTTGTTGAGAGCCTGTCCGTCCCTTCGCTGGAGCGTGTTGATCTCAATTGTCTGAGGACAACTCTCCGACCTGTGTCCATATTCACGGCACATGGAGCACCAATCAGTCAATTGCGTGACTACTTGTAGTCTGATAACCGAACCATTGGCCTGTGGCCAGTATAAAGAACCTGGCACCTGATCTTTTCTGTCCCGGGGAATATCGAACTTCACATTGTTCAACTTGGGCGCCTCGTCGTATCTCTTCGGTGGGTACTGTTTGCACACTTTGCCCACAGCATACTGAATGTTTAACCTAACGAAGGGGACGGCGAGCCATGGCACCCTCAGGGCCATGATCCAAATTTTACTGACCTCATCCTCGACTTTGGTCGTCTGAATCTCGTCAGGAAACATCCATTTTTGGAATGTGAGCTTATAGGTCGTGCCATCAATCTTCAACTTGTGACTCTTAATATTCAGCAGTAACTCTATACATTTCCTGTCTCGGGGGAAGTAAGACATTACGTTCCTACCCTCCTGATGTACCCTCCCCCTCTCTTTGTGGTGCAGACTTTGGGATAAGATAGAGTCCTCAAATTTCCTCATGCATTGCTCTTTTCTCTTTGTTGATACCGACTTGAATGTGCCCTGAAAAAAAACTACTACGGCGTGGTCCCTCATCCAATCTTTCTGAGCTTGTTCCACGATGGAGGAGACCGTCATAGTAACTGTATCCCCTTCTCGTTTGAAAGAAGCGAATTTTGACATGTCCGGAATGACAAGTCTGTCAAAACATTTATCTAACAAAGTTCTGACTTCTTCCACTATTTCCGTGCTCGTTTTACTGGCCACCGAATCGTCCTGCTCTATCATCATTCCATTGTGACCAGCTACTTCCTCTTCGTCCATGTCACTATCCGAGTCACTGTCAACCGGCCACCACTCGCACTGGGGGGTGACTGGCCGTTGATTCTTACCCCTGCCTCGAACATTGTCCGACCATCCCCCGGGGCCTGCTGGTTTGTTCCAGGGACCTGCAGATCTACCCTGTCCTGCCCCCTGTCCCCTGCCTCTTCCTGCCTGATTTCCCTGTCTTACCCCTCCCTGTGGAGGATGGGACTGAAGGGAAACTCCTGGGGTTGCATTAGAGCTTGCTGGATCATCCCTACCTGCGTCTGATCGTGCCCCCCAAAATGGCGTGATGTTGTCCCATGCTAAGCCTTGATCCACCCTGGCCCCTATGGCTCCATCTCCCTGCTCTAACCCTTGCCCCTGATTGGGGACTGGAGAGTGCAGCTCCATGTCCGCTCTATCAACCCGAAGCATGATTCCCTCTGAATGTTGAGACTCAGGTGTTGTGATGGAAGTGAACCAGTACTAGAGCGGTAGAGTTGGAAAGCACGGACTGGAAAGCACGGACTGACGGGGCCTGTTGCCCGAGAGCAACTCGAAGCGGATCAAGACCGACCTGAAGGGAGCGGCCCGCCGAGCGCCCGACCTGACGAGCCCAAATAATTCCAGAAACTTCCAGAAACAGTGTTATTATGACGAATTTGAGGATATATCTACCTCATAAACTCCAATGGGGAAGACAAGTAGTTTACTATTGTATTTCTAGAACTAGGCATAACCAGGGGATCGTAAAAAAAAAAAAAAAACGGATCTTCCGTGGTCGGAGCAACAGTGTTAGCCAAGGCTGTCAGTGAAACTGCCAAGTCCCCAAGGGAGTTCACAGGGAGAGCCGAGGTAAAACGCCTGTGACGATAGCCTATCCCTCGTGGCGATTATAAACTTGTTAAATCTTTCAGAAAAAACTGGAAGAGACTAAGACTTGTTAAATCTTTCAGAAAAACTGGAAGAGACTAAGAGGGTTAATGTGGCGAGAGGGGAGGCGGGGGGGGGGGGGAGCTGTGGGGGAGATGTCTAGGGTTTACACAGTGCGGCGGAGCATTACGTATATGCGGGTGCGGGTTATGCGGGCATGTGTCAACGCGCCATATATTGGAGCAGGTGATAGGAAACACGCCTAGCGGGTTGGAGGAAAATGTAGGGATTGCGGATATGAAACACTAATGGATGTGAACCACCTGTGGGACCGAAAGTCCTTGGACCTGCGGGGAATATGACGAGAGGTGTGTGTTCTCATTCAAGATAGGCACGCATCCACGGGAAGTAGTGGCTCACTAGCCCGCCGACACCTATCAAAACCAGCGAGACAGGTGACGGGTACCAGTCGGGTAAAGTCCTCCGATAGTACCGAGGTAATGTGAACTGTCCAGACCTAATAGGCGGAATCGGAAGTGAGAAAAAGAAAAAGGAGAAAAAGAGAAAGAAAAGGAAAAGGAAGGAAAAAAGAAACCGGGTTATAGCCAACACCAAAAGGTGGGATCCTGTCGGCCTGTGTCTTTCCTTAGGGCTTACGTAGTACGGCGAATCATTACGTTGATGCGGGTGCGGGTTATGCGGACATGTGCCAGCGTGCCAAATATTGGATCAAGTGATGGGAAACCCGCCCGGCGGGTTGGAGGAGTGTGTGGGGATTGCGGATGTGAAACACCAGTGGATGTGAAAACTCTATGGGACCAAACGTCCCTGGACCTGCGGGAAAATAACGAGTGGTGTATGTTCCTCATTCGAGATAGGCACGCAACTGCAGGAAATAGTGACTCACTGGCCAGCCGACACTTGTAAAACAGCGAGAGACAGGCGACAGGTACAAGGCGAGTAAATCCTCCGATAGTACCAAGGTATTGTAGACTGTCCAGACCTAATGGGCAGAAACGGAAGAGAGGAAGGAAAGGAGAAAAGAGAGAAAAGAGAAAAAAAGAAACGAAAGAAAAAAGAAAAAAGAACCAGGGTTATAGCCAACACCAAAAGGCGGTACGGAGGGCTGAACGGACGAGGGCGCCAACTATCCAACCTCAGCCTTGCCTGACCCTATGACAGGGCGGGGGCCCCTCTCTACGAGGGACAGCGGCCGAGGGAAAAATGAGATCAGGGCCTGACGTGCGAGAATGTCGGTATCACACCCCCTACGATCAACGTCGGAGATTGTTTCGGGCTTGGCCAGCAAACCACGGTTCCTACTTGGGCTCAAGATCCTGTCAACCTGTGTCTTTCCTAAAAAAAAGAGATCACACCCCCCAACTCGGTACTTGACCGCCTGGGTTGTGAGCTGTTTAAAGTGTATAGACCCGGCACAACGGGTACCTGCAGAACTTCGAAACTCGCGAAATAGACACCTGTCCTAACACCCGTCCCAAAGTCGACCATGTGCCAGGCCTGCGTAGAGTCCGGTATGACAACCCCTTTTTCAAGCATCGAAGATCGAAACGGGCTGAAGCAGTACCGCCCAAAGCGTAGTACGCTATTCCATAAGTTCCTTCACGGGGATCTGGCCCGCGCCACTATAGCGGCCTGAGAGCGAAAGGGCGAAGGAAGAAAAGGGGAGACAGAACAAGGGGACGCAACCCTAGTCGGGTTGTAACCTGCCTGAATGGGCGAAACACATCAGGAATATGGCGAGAATGTATGGGAACGGAGATAAGGGGATGTGGCGAGAATGTATGGGAACGGAGAACAGGTCCCTATCGAAGCCAAGCTCTACGACTCTACAGCTACTGGAGAAGGGAAACGACAAAGGGGAGATAAAAGTTCAGAAAGAGAAGCCCTTGTCACATGCCACGTCCGAATACAAAGTAAAGCAATACGACAAAATCCTGGGATATTGGGGAAGCAATGTATACCTCACAAAAGCCATCCTAGAATCCAGTCACCTGCTTGCTCCTCCGTGTCCAGCTGAGAAACTCCTTCGATGCACTGTATATCGGTGCAACTTGCTGGACGCACTGACCAAAAGGCCTCCGAAAGCGTCAAGTGCGCACATGACGTTCAATACAGCCGACCGCGCTAGGCCGCTCCATGGGACGTCGTGCAGGGCTCCTCACGCTGTGGGAGCCACATGTTCCATAGGAAGCTTGCTGACCCTGCAGCGATCTTCAGTTCGAAAGTTCAAAGATTCTGTCTGTCCGGAACAGGAAAAAAGACTCCGCTCACACTTACTACACCACCTCACCTCACCTCATACCAGGGAGAAGTTCATGTCGCCCTTGCTCGGACCCATCATGAAGCCCGACAGTTGAGCAACACACCTCCCCCGTGCTAAGCGCCCCGCGGTATGGCGAACGAACTCCGCGATGGCCGAAAAAAACCCTAAAAGTTAACGCACCCGCGTCGTGGGATTGAAGCGCTACGGCGCCGCCTCCAACTTCGTCCCCCCACTGAGACCGGCCCTCGGTTGTTTGGAGTCACAGTAGACTCATAATGGAATACCTGTGTTCCTAGAGCCACCAGCTCAAAGTACACTCATAATGGAATACCTGTGTTCCTAGAGCCACCAGTTCTTTGGACTGGGTTCAGGCCGTTTTTTTTTAGGCCTGTGCATTCCTCTTTCTGATAATTTCTAGTTACTGAGTTGGCTGCGGTCACCTCTCCACACTTTCATGGATAATCAACACAGATCATCAGCAGAAACTCCATCAACAGAAACTCCAAGTTTATCAGTCAAACAGAGCTCCTTTATGCTTGCATTTTTGCTCAGCAAGTTACAAGGGCGCTGGACCTGGTTTCCAGCAAGTTATATTTTCAAAGTGTAATTCTCCTTATGGGACGCTGGACCCAGTTTCTAGCAAGTGTTTCTAGTTTTCAAAGTGGTTTGTCCCTATGGGACGCTGGACCCATTTTCCAGCAGCTGATTTGATTTTTTTCATTATTAATTTATGGGACGCTGGACCCGATTTCCAGCACAAGCCAAAGTTGGGTAATGGCCCCAGTTCACTACCCAGGTAGAATTGTGAGGTCCTTCAATTAATTACAGACAAACTGGTCTTTTCTTTCAATTATACATATTACCTACACATGGCTCACACAGGCATTGATAGATGCTCCATGGTGGGGGGCAGAGTCTGCTACGGGTCCACGTGCATTACAAAAAAACATACACACATAGGGCCTCGTTAGACCCTCCTTGCAAAATCCTCAGGAATTGGGATGAGGTCCTTGGAAAAATTTTCAGTTTTTGGCGTTGTCGTTACATCGCATCCTAATTCAATGGTTCCCGAGGAAAACCCTCACGGGTCTCCCGTGGCCTATGTGACACCCGCGGCCTAGGCCGCGGGCAAGTCGGCCGCTGCGGCCGATGAGGCCCAGTCCACGGCCTGTTTTTTTAATATTTCCCCCCCCCTAAAAATACGCTAAAATATATATATATATATATATATATATATATCGTCACAAACAGTATATATATATATATATATATATATATATATATATATATATATATATACAGATAGATAGATAGATAGATAGAGAGAGAGAGAGAGAGAGAGGGTAACCGGCGTTTGGGACGGGCCGAACGCCCAAACCCGAACGCTTGAACCCGAACGCCCGGATGTATGGACCCCTTGGGGATGCGTTCGGCCGTTCGGGCCGAACGCGGACCGTCCTAATTCAATGGTACCCGAGGAAAACCCTTACAAGTCTCCCGCGGCCTATGTGACACCCGCGGCCTAGGCCGATTAGGCCCAGTCCACGGCCTGTTTATTTAATATTTTCCCCCCCCTAAAAATACGTTAATATATATATATATATATATCGTTAAATAGAACTGCCCGGTAAACCGTAGGCAGAGAGGGAGAAGAGGACAACAAACGAGGGGCTGTGACAAACTGTTTCGTCGGAGTTTCACCGACTCATCAGGAGGTTGAACCCTCAACAGTCTGTAGAATCCCCTC